CACCCTTGGGTGGACCAAGCAAACCACGCGTGAGGTGAACCAAGCAAACCACGGGGGGGGTCTGTTATAGTAGTTACTTGTCCCAGCAGGCAACAACAAACAGGCTCTCTCTGCTGTCACCCAGCTTTCCATGGGCTACTCAATGAAAGCAGCAGAGGAGACTCCATCTACAACAGCAGTAGTATCCACAGCAGTGAGCAGAATTGTGCGTGCGTAGAAGAGGCTGACTATTCTGTGACCTACATCTAGCGTACAACGGGCTCCATCGCAAAGCATCACCAGAGGAGGCTGGCTCTTTCAAAGTGTGTTTCTTCTTGTGCTGCAGCTGGTGCTGCTGCTGCACACCTTTGTACGCACAGAAACTATGTGTGTTAAGCCCTCGCTGTGTGTACCATGGCACCGCTGTGATGGACAGAAGCTGTGCGTGTGAATCTCTTGCTGTGTGTACCATTGCACTGCTGCGTGACGGTACATGTAGGTACTCTGCTCTACATGTTGGCATGTTGGACGTACATGTTCAATCTTGTAGCAGCAGCAGTTACACCGCACATTGGACGGAGCCCCCGCGTACCCTTCAGCACCAATTCTTCAATCAGGGGGAGGGGGGGGGCGGCAACACCTACGGACATGTATAACCGGTCGCCTCGGTGTTCTAGTGGGTACCCTCGCAGCCTGCTAAGGGCCAGGTCATGGGTTCGAGTCCCGACAGAGTGAGTTTTTTCTCGCTAATTAAATTCTGGTCTCCGTTGGAAGCGACGCGCTGCAAAGCTCGTCGTTAGTAAACTTGATCGACTTCAAAAGTCGCGAGGGAAGGGATTGCTGTACCCTTCTCGTGATACAAACATCTCAGGCAGGAACCGCAGGAGGGGGTCCAACCCCCCGTTCCCATGTGACCCCGGTTGGGTCGTCTAGCTGGTAGAAGTGGAGGATAGGGGCCAGAGTGGCAGACGACAGAGTCTAATGATGGGAGAAAAACAACAACAACAAAAAATATGTCGCCTCTTTGTGACCTGGGCTGCGGGAGGTGCGTCCCCGGAAACTAAAACGCCTGTACAACGCATCAGCAGCAGCAGAAAACACAGCTGCTGGTGCACACCTTCGAACGCACAGAAGCTGTGTGTGTCGAACTCTCGCTGTGTGTACCATGGCACTGCTGTGATAGACAGAAGCTACGCGTGTGAATCTCTCGCTGTGTGTACCATGGCACTGCTGCGTGACCGTACATGTAGGTACTCTGCTCTACATGTTGTAGCAGTTACACCGCACATGGGACGGAGCCCCCGCGTACCCGTCAGCACGAATACTTCAATCAGGGGGGGGGGGGCGGCAACACCTACGGACATACATATAGTAGTGTAGTCTCTTCTTTTTGACCTGGGCTGCGGGAGATGCGTCCCCGGAAACCAAAACGCCTGTACAACACATCAGCAGCAGCAGACAACAAATTATTATTGGTTCGAGCTTTGATCGAGAATTTTCAAAAGCGTTCAAGAGTGTGATGGGTAACCAGGCTAGCACGGGAGGCACTTGTCGCACACTAGGCCTTCGCGCACAAAAGTGTAGAGAGGCGTACAGCAGTACATGTCGCACCAATGGTGGTGCGTAGCAGCGTCTGTGTGTTGTTGGTGTCATGTGCCCCTCTCCGCGGAGAGAGAGGCCGCTGCTGCTGCTGCTGCAGCTGCTCTGCTGCTTGCTGCTGCAACCAAATGAATGTTGATCTCTCCTCTCGCTTCCTCCGCCGATAGCTAACAGCAGCAGTGTATGGCACACCCTTCTCCCGCCGTCTCGCCCTCGCTGTGGTCTGTGTCTTCCCTCTTCCTGTTTGTCCATGTCTGGCTCTGTGTGTGTGGTATGTGGTGTGCGAAGTTATCTGTCTTGGTTCAAAATCAAACGACGCCTCCTCTCGGTGTTGCAAGGGGCCATCAATTTCCCTGCTTCAAGTTGGGTACCGACGCTGCGCTATCTCGACGCACCGAGCACGGATTGAAAAGGCAGCAGTTGGGGCAGTTCGGGCAAAATATTACTTGTTGTGAACACGTCTTAGATTGCAATTTGGTGCCGAGATGGTGAAATG